ACTTGTTAAGAGGAAACCTCCCAGTTCCTGCATTCAGCCATTCCCCACCCCACACCGGGTCCCACGACCAGCCCCAGAGGACTGAAGCCTCCACTGAGCCCAGCCCGGAATACGGGTGTGGGTGGTGAAGGCGAGACCAGTGCCAGAGGGACTGTGGGCAAAGGGGTTTGGGTGGTGGCTTTGGGACAGAGGTTTGTGCCCAGATCGGAAGGGAGACAACAGGGATGACCAACTCCAAGCAGGAGGCGGACGGAGGGAGTAGTTATTTACAGCAGCTCTTTAATGCCTAACAATGAGATTTCTATGTCATTCCCTAGGAGGACTTTACCTAGAAATAAATCCTCTAATCAGAAAAAATTTGGACAGACCAACTTAGGCTCAAAAACATCACAAGGCACAAGGCAAGATGCCCTCATCAGGTGGCTGACCCTGGTACCACACCTCCGTCCTCAGTCCACTCTGCCCCAGGGCCTGCCCCTGGCCTCACCCCAACCCCCACTGGTAGCTGAGTACCTGCAGGGGCACAGGAGAGCTCCCGGCAGGAAGACATGTGGAAGGGGAGCCAGGCAGACTCCTGGCCAGCTCCTGGAATTCCACGGGGGGCTAAGCTCCCCACACATCACCCGGGGTAAGTGACCCAGCGGAAAAGACTAGTGGATCCAGAGTGGGACAGGGAGGGTTCTGGGACATGGAATCATCCGGTGCAGCCAGGACACAAGTGGACTGGAGTGGGTTGAATGGTGGCCCCCTGAATTCGTGTCCACCTGTAACCTACGACCACAGCCCTATTTGAAAAAAGGGTCTTTGCAGATGTAATTAGGTTAAGGATCTTAAGATTCAGTCACCGTAGGTGGGCCCTAAATCCAGCAATGAGTATCGTTGTCAGAGAGGCAGAGGGAGCTTCGGGACCCAGAAGAAGAAGGCTACGTGACGACAGAGGCAGAGACTGGGGCAATGGGTCTACAAGCCAAGGATTGCCAGCAGCCACCAGAAGCTAGAGGGAGGCTGGGACGGATTCTCCCCAGAGCCTCCAGAAGGAACCAACCTGCCCACACCTTGATTTGGGACTTCTGGCCTCCAGAACTGGGGGAGAAACAACTGCTGTTGTTTGAAGCTGCCAGACTGTTGTACTTGGTGACAGCAGCCCTAAGAAACTATTGCAAGGAGCAAGCCCTCATGGGGCAGGGCTGGAAGAGGAAGAGGCCAGGAGGGCTTCCGGCCAAGCCTCTCATCTTAGAGACGGAGGAGAGTAAAGCCAGAGAGGGCAAAGCAGGTCCAGGAAGCCACGACTGCGGGGTGGGCTGGGAGTGAGAAGTGCCCGGGGACTCGAAAACGAGCGAGGACAGTGAGTGAATGGAGGGACAGGTGAGGACTGAGGCACTGCCCCACGGGGGTGCCTGGCTCCCTGCCCTCCCCATGACACAGGACCCCCTGGGAAGAGCAGAGCGCCAGCTCTCTCCTCCTGGGTGGGCGCTCCAGGCCTCACTGCGTCGGGTGGACGCCCAGCCAGGGGCAGACGTCCAGTGACAGCACAGCCAGCCCTCCTAGACGACCCCCCTCCCCGCCCCCCGCCAACGTTCACGGCGGGGCAGAGACTTCCACATTCCCTGCCCACGGCTCCCCTGCGTGGCCATTCCCACCCTCCCTGCGGCCCAGTGGAACTAAGAAAGAGCTCCCCAGTGGAAAGTTCCCTTCTTGGAGATTCTCTCCCTGCTGAAATACTAGCACTTAGAACAAGATAAAACTGCTTAATTTGTAAAAGCCACAAAGCCAGTGCAGAACAAGGGAAAAAACGCAGACCCTTGGCTGGAAGGAGCGGCCGCCTGTGTCTCAGTGTCCAGTCACTGCTCCATGACTCACCCCTGCCCTGCTGACAAGCCCTCCGGCATCTTCCCAGGGAGGCCTCCGAGAGGGCGGGAGGGTGCCCGACTGATGAAGAGGACCCTGGGCCCCGGGGTGCAGAAACCAGGCAGGAGCCAGCTGCTGCCGAGAGAGGGAGGAGGGAGCAGATCTAAGGGTCCTGAGGCTGCCGGCACCTGCCCCAAGCCTCTTTCCCCGAGGCTGGGCACACCTCACCCCCTCCCCACCAACCCTTCCTGGACAGCTGCTGGGCATCGGCCAACAGCCAGCTGGACACGCCTTGAACCCCAGCCCAGGGGGTCATGAGCAGGTACAGCCACATCTGGAAGAGGGCGGATGCGGCAGATGGGGTGTTGGGCCGGGCAGGCCCCCATCCACACACGTGGCATCCTGGCCCCCAGCCCCACCTCCACCCGGGATGCAGATGGCGACTGAGGCAGCTGTCACAACCGCCTTATGTGAGACAAAGGGGTGTGCCCTGTGAGAAGGAAAGAGGCCTGCAGCAGGCAGGGGCCCCCAGGACAGGCTCAGAGCCCAGGGCAGGGGGACGCTGCCTCGGGCCGTGCTGGCCCAACTTCCTCTCCCTACAAATTAGGGAACCGAGGCCCCGGCAGCAGAGGGACTTGTGCAAGGTCCCAGCAGGGCCAGGACGGAACTTGCTTCCCAGGGAGTGGGGAAGCCTGAGTTAGAACTAGAGACCAAGGCTCAGGTCTGACCAGGTCTGAGGAAAACGTCAGGGAAACAGCTCCGGGATTTTCATTTTCATTCATATCTGTAACCAGTTTCTAACTGAGTTTTGAAAGACATAGTTTTGTTTTTTCTTTTTTTTTTTTGGTGAGAAAGATTAGCCCTGAGCTAACATCTGTTGCCAATCCTCCTCTTTTTGCTGAGGAAGACTGGCCCTGGGCCAACATCCATGCCCATCTTCCTCTACTTTATATGTGGGACATCACAGCATGGCTTGATGAGCGGTGTGTAGGTGCACACCCAGGATCCAAACCTGCGAACCCGGGGCCGCCACAGCAGAGTATGCGAACTGAACCACTATGCCACCAGCCCGGCCCCTAGTTTTTGTTTTGTTTTGTTTTGTTTTTTAATGAAAACGCATCCAAATGAGGATTTCACAGAAAGGACTGGTTTTTCCTCCGGCACATCCTGAGAGCAGGTCCCCACTTCATCCCTCACCGTGCTGTCGCTGACGACAGTGGCGCTCAGCGCAGTTGCAAGGTGCAGAGCTGACCATTTTCAAAGGCAGTTTTGTTCAGTTCATGAAAAGCTCCCGGAGTCTGGCTAGCCCAGGAGGTTCCAAGACATTGCCATCACTCTGGACTCCCCAGGGACCCCCTCCCGGCCTTTGTCATTTGCAAAATGAAGGCGGGAGCGGAGGCCCCTGCCAGCCAAGCCGGTGGAGTGACCACCCCCCGAGCCCCGCCCAGGCCCCTCTCAGTGTCCCCTGCCCTGCAGCCCCTGCCAGGCTGGGAACAGGGACCCCTGGCCCTGCACCCCATCGACCCCAGCTGGCCCACTGAGCTCAAACACGCATGAGGCAGTTTTGCCAGCCGTGCCTCCCGCTGGTCTCCGTTGTCGCCCCACCTTCCGTGGTCAGTCCTCTGCCCATTTGTGCATGCTCAGCAGCATAGGCGCACACGCACGCGCGCGTGCACACACACACACACAGGCAAGCACACACCGGGTCAGCAGCTCCCTCCAGTGGCTGCCCCATCTGTCCTGACATCACGTCAGGGCCGGATCGGCCCCTGGAGCAGCAGGCGAGGGGGCCGTGCTTCAGAGAGGCTGCCGAGGTGGGCCTTCCTTCTCTCTGGCCTCTTGGGGACCCCCTCTACACACAGCGGCAACCAAGCAACCAGGGCTGACGGCACTTGTGGAGTGACATTCTTAGCCTCACTGTGACCCAGGGGTCAGCTCAGAACCCCTGAAGCCCAGAGCGAGGCTGACGCCCCTGGGATGCCTCAGGCGTGCACGGTGTACCCAGCACCTGGCTCAAGGGGCGCGCCGTAAGCAACAGGCTGTTAGGAACGGGAATTACTCCTGCTGATGAGAGATGCTGACACAGTCACTGCACGCCATGCCTGGCTGAAGGAACTGAGGAAGTCTGACGTGGAAAAGAGGATCTTCTCACCGGGGAGACGAGAGGAGGCAGCCTCCTTCCTGTTCATTCGTCGGTTCTCGCCCCACCCCGCTGAGCTCCCTGGGGGCTGCCAATGTGAATGGCCACTGGGCCTGGCTCTGAGAAGCTGGAACCATGCAGGGTGCAGGGGCCGGTCCAGGGACCCGTAAGGCCCCTCCAGTCAAAGAACCAGCTGTCTGCCCTCACTCCTTGCCTTTACGTGACACCCAGATGTTTTAAACAGTGATTCTGCTCCAGGATCTGAGCAGAGCCCACATTTGCTAATTTTTCTGTCCTAAACCATCCCTCAGAGACTGTGGATGATCATCACTGCCCCCCTCCTCATCACAGGGTTCCCAAGTGAGTACAGGACCCTAATGACACCACTATGCCCCGGCGAGATTCACCTTGATTAATCCCCCCAAGCTTCCAGTGGAACAGGACAAGCTCTCTCTGCTGTGTGCACATGCACACACACACACGCGCGCACACACACAGACACACGCTTGCACATCTCTGAGCATCTGGAGCTTTCACCCCTGTAATCAACTCCCAGGAAGGCTCCAAAATGCTATTTCAGGGAAGAGACCAAGGCGGCCTTGAAGACAGACTTTGGCTGACAGCAGAAAAACAAACCACACGATGGACAAACAAACCACCAACCAGTGTCCCGATGCGGCCACCCCAGACCCGAGCACAGACACAGGTCCCCCACCCTTTCCCGGAGGCCCCACGGTCTCAGCATTTACAGTCGTCTGAAGACACAGAGTGGCACGTTGGGAAATGAACGAGGAATAGCGAGGGGCAGGGGAACCCGGTTTAAATAAAAGCCAGACCCAATGAAGCTTAGGTTTTTGGAATATTATGTCCCACAACCTCAGAACAGTCAAAAGGAAAAGAAATATGTCCACAGAAATGAGTAAAAGTGCCCCCTGGGTGCTTATTTCCCAAAGCACCCATACAGCCCTGAGTTAAGGGGGGCCGGCGTAGGGGAGGAGGGCAGGGGGCCTACCTGTGATCCGGTCTCTCTCCATGACTATGGATATATTTAGCAGCAGGCGGGGTCCAGCGTCCCCCCTTCAGAGGCGTCCTCCCCTTTCTCACCCCCGTCGCCCTCCCTCTTTCTGCCTCCTCCTCCAAAAACACTCTTTGTCTGGTCTAATTTCTTCAATCTGTTGCAATCACGAATGCATCCAAATTACCACATTTCCATGTGCTGATCATATGCTCGTGCTCCAAAGTGAAGCAGCATTGTCTCTGAATCGGGAGGGAAAAGGCAGCGAAGGAGAGAAATAAAAAAAGAGGCAGGAGTGAGGCCGGACGTGGGCCCTGAGAGAGTCTGGGGCCTCGGGGTCCTCCGGGCAGGCGCGAGGACCGGCGTCTGGGCTGTGCGGGGTGGCTTCAGAGGTGCAGCGTGCGGCTTCCGGCGGCCTTCTCTCCACCCCCTCCAGCCCCTCCGCCTGGCTCTCGCTGCTCCTCTTTAATATCCACTTGGAGAAGCTTAGCCTCTTGGAAACCAGTGCACACAGTCAAATTCCTGGCGACTTCCAAAGTCTTTCATTTCCCTGTCCCGCGATGCTACGGTTTCCTTTGGTCTCAGCGTTTGCAAAGCCTGGTTCCTGCGCGCCTTCCTCCCCTCCCCTTCACCCGGAGCCCCTGAGGAGGAGGGGCAGTTGCACCCCAGGGAGGCGGGTGAGGGAAGGCTCTGGAGCACCTGCCCGGGAGGACCCTGGACAAGTCCCCCCTGCAGATGCCCTGGTGTCCCGTCAGCCTGCGGTGACAGAGGCAGCTGGCCGTCCCCACCCAAGCCGGGAGGGAGAGCGGGATGGAGACTTCCTGGAAGATTCCTACCACACGCTCATGAGTCAGTGAGTCTCCGGCTGTCCCCTGGGAGGGAGCGTGGCTCCTCACCCCCGACTTCCCCAGACGCAGTGCCTCTCCGGGAGGGGACATGGGGCCCCGCCAGGCTGGGGGCTCAGTGCTGTCTCCTGCTGTTCGCCTGGGGTCCCAGGGGCTCCCAGCACCTGGCCAGAGTCAGGCTGGGGGGCTGAGGCTGGGGGCCTGGGACTGGGGGGTATTTCCTCTGCTCTTTGAGCTTCATTCACCTCCAGGGTTCAAACTGGGAGCCTTCAGCCCAGGACACAGAAACGGGTTTTGTCTGCTGAGCCTGTTTAAAGAAAACGTGTATTCGTGCCAACGTTGAATGCTTAGGCAATTTCTCTGAGAACTCCAGATTTCCCGCTTCTCTTGGAAAAGGGGAGGCATGTGGTCACACCGGACGAGCCTTCTTGCCTGGCCACAGGGGGTGGTGCAACGAGTGCCACCCCCTTTCGATGAAACTGCATTTTCTAGTTTGCTCTGGTGCCCACAGACCCTTCACTCAGGTCCATTATTTGCCTGGCCCTGACGGCCTCTGAGTTGGCGATCCCTGCCCCACACAGCCACGTGAGCCATGTGTCACCACAAGACCCATGCACAACTCGCTGTTGCATGGCACAGAGTCCCCGTGCCCTCCTGCCCAGGACGGGACCCCAAATGCAGTCTCCTAGGCAGAAAGGGTATCTTCGGGGGGGGGCACAATTTCTAGCCTTCTGGGAGACACCAACGAGCAGCCATCCCCATGCCCCAGCAGAGCCTGGAGGACAGCCCCCAAAGGCAGCCTGCATGTGAGGGAAGGGGCAGTGTCTAAACCAAGGGGCAGCTGGGGGCTCTCGGGCACTGTAGTAGGCTCAATAATGGCCCCCAAAGATACCACGTTCTAATCCCTGGAAGCTGTAAATGGGACCATTTGGAGAAAGGGTGGTTGCAGATGGGTGTGAGTGAAGGATTTTTTTTTTTTTAATTTTTATTTATTTATTTTTGACCCCCAAAGCCCCAGTAGATAGTTGTATGTCATAGATGCACATCCTTCTAGTTGCTGTATGTGGGACGCGGCCTCAGCATGGCCAGAGAAGCGGTGCGTCGGTGCGCGCCCGGGACCCGAACCCGGGCTGCCAGCAGCGAAGCGCGCGCACCCAACCGCTAAGCCACGGGGCCGGCCCTGAAGGATCTTGAGATGGGGAGATTATGCTGGATTATTGGGTGGACCCTAAATGCCATGACACGTACTCAAGTAAGAGGGAGGCAGAGAGAGATCTGACATACGTACACGGAGAGGGGATGTGAAGATGGAGCAGACAGAGACGTGAAGACACTGGCCTTGAAGATTGAAGTGACACGGCCACGAGCCTAGGAGTGCCGGCAGCCCCCAGAAGCTAGAAGAGGCAGGGAACAGATTCTCCCCTAGAGCCTTCAGAGGGATGGTGGCCCTGCCCACACCTTGGTTTTAGACTGTGGCCTCCAGAACCATGAGAGAATCAATTTCTGTTGTTTTAAGCCATCAAGTTTGCAGCAATTTGTTACAGCAGCCACAGGAAACGCATACAGGCACCACAAACAGACTAAAGAGCCAATGTTCTTTGTACAATGTTTTCTGTTAATGATATTTCATCCTAAAACGTTATGTTAAACCAACCACTAACAATTGTTGAGTTAGAACAATGGGGATTAGGGTGGTTTTGGGTTTATTTAATCTCTTTTCTGATTTTGAAAAAAATATTCCTTATTGGTTTTTTCAATTATAAACGTAATAGATGTTCATTGTATTAAATATAGAAACTACAGAAAACATATAAAGAAGAAATCCCTTTAATGCCACAAGGGACTCGAGCACGATTCTCGCTGCGGCAAGCAGCCCCAGGCCAGCTGGTGGAACTGTGGGGTGGGATAGGACCAGGGGCCAGGCTTGGTCGGCCCTGCCCCCCGGCCACCTCCTGCAGGCGCCAGCTCGCACACTATGGATCTCACTGCTGTGGCGGCTGCGGCTGCTGAGCACAGCTTTGACCCTCGGTTTTTCCCCGGCATAGTTTGGCTCGAGGTCCATTCCCCCACCATGCCTAAAAATCCAAGCACTCTGGCCCAGGCAGGGGATAATTTGAAACCAAAAACCTGGCAGCACCGATTGGCTCTGATGAGGCCCCAGTTAGTCATGAGCCAATTCAGAGGCCGGGTGCAGAGGTGGGGTGAAGCCAGGCAGCCACCTCACCACTGCTCACTGAGCCCCAGCCTAGTCACCAGCATCAGCCACTCAGGGGGCAACTCGCCAGGCCAGATCAACATCCCCAAAGTGGGTTCCCCACAGGGCTCCATCCTCCAGAACACCGACAGGGCTCTGTGGCCATGTAGAACTTTCTCCCTGCCTTAGATTCAGCAGGAGCATTAGCACAGTAAGCGCAGTAAGTCGTCCCAGGCAGGGGCTGGCTTCTTTGGAAAACACTTGCTGTCCTGGGGAGGCAGGACCCCTAGGGCCACAGCTTTGGGAAACTCTGCTTGTGCCAGCCAACAAGCCCCAGCTTCCAGCCACCCCAGCCTGCCCACATCCTGGGGTGGGCATCATTGCCCAACAGACCCTTCCAGACAGTTCTCAGGGTGGCATCTCTGTCCAGCACCCCCCCACAGACCTGCACCGAGACCTGCACACTCCCGGCCACCTTCTTCGTGATGTGACCGTCACCAGCGAGGGGTGCAGGGTGAGGAGGAGGATCGAGGACCGCTTTATCATTAAAGACACCGCTCTGCCCCCTTCCCGAAGCACATGTGCACGCCTGGCACCCAGCTGAGAGGGGACACAAAAGTAAGAGGCATTCCCAGGGGGCCCTGAACTCCCCCCACCAGACCAGGAGGCCTGCGGCTGGCCCAGCCACGCAGAAAGGGAACAGGCGCTCCAGGTGGCTCCGACATGGGCAGTAGGGGCCTGTGGAAGGGCTGACAGGATGGACACAGCCTTGCTCCTGATGCGCATTCTGCGGAGGGACCCGGAGGAGGTGGGGGAAGAGGAATCCGCCGAAAGGACACTTCCTGGGCTCTGGGCTCTGATTTTCCGCCACCGTCACCTCCCCCTCCTCTAATGCAGGCACTTGCGAATCCTCCATAATTAGCTCCAAGCTATAGGGGATGCCCCAACCTCTCACTTTAAAAAATGACTTTTCCATTCATTTCCTGCTCGTCCCCAGCCTCAACCCCTGAAGTTTGCTTCCCTGAGTTAAAAATAAAGGAGCTGCAATCCCCAACCCCTCCCACTGACCCTGCTGCAGCCACTGCTACTGTACCTGCCAGCAGAGCAGGCAGCCGGCCGAGACCCTCCAGGGCCGGCCCTGGTCTGGCGGCCTGCAGCCTCCCAGAGCAAGATGGATTCTGGGCCTGGGGCCTGCTGCATTCCTCTCTGGAATCTTCCCTCCACTTTTTATTGTGCCTCAAGTTTCAGCTGTTCCTAAATAAATACAATCCAGCTACTCTCGGCCTTCGGGACGGCTGCACGGTTTACTGGTGCAAACAGCCTGGGCCGGCCTGTTGCTTTGGGAGCTCTTCCAGGTCAGTGTGGAAGGAAACCAAGACACTGAGAGAAGCAGCCCAGACGGGGCCGAATTCCACCGCTAATGGCCTCATGCTCAGCCGACCATCCCAGGCCGGAGCCAGGAGCTGGCGCTTCATTCCTAAAGAAGGCCCCCAGCTGCCTGTGCAGAGCAAGGGGGCTCCGGGGGCGTGGAGGCCAGGATCCTTGGTAGAGTCTTCCCAGGGCCCCAGAGTGTAAACTTCTCCCCAGCATCCTGAAAACTCCCTGAAGAAATGGTGTCTTTCACTTCCCGCTGGGAGCCCAACATTCTGCCTGCTCAGTAGGCCCAGTAAGTGCTCGCTGGATGAACAATGGATTGGAGGATCTGATGTGCAGATTATCCAGACCAGCGCTGCCCAACAGAACTTTCTGTGCTGATGCAACTGTTCTGTACCTGCCCTGTTCATACGGCAGCCGTGTGTGGCTGCTGAGTGCTTGCAATGTGGCCACTGGCGCTGAGGAACTGCGTTTTTAATTTGTGTTAAATACCTAAATAATTTAAATGTAAATAGCCCCGTGTGCCTACTGGCTGCCCTGGTGGCCAGGGTTTGCTTCTCCTCCTGCTCCTTGGAGACACTGCATTCTCTGTAAGTACCTTCCCCAAAAGGCAAACAAAGAAAAGCTACTCTTCAGCCAAGGCGAAAAAAAGCCAATATTTCTATTTTAAACTTGCTTTTTGGCCAATTCCCCCAAACTTCTCCTATCAAGTTCATTTCAATAGTATTTCCTGCCTGCTTACTATGTGCCATAAGAGCACCCAGCCAGGATTCGGTCTCTGGTGCTGGGGAACAGAAATCCCCAAGGCCGGCCTGCTGAAGGGGCTGTGACAGGTCAGGTCCACGTTACCCTGGAAAGAGAATGGCTTCTGAGGTGAGAAAGTGCAGGGCTGATTCTGGAGCTGTGACCAGTGGGGAGGCCAGAACCCTTGGAGCAGGAAGGAGGAAGCAGGAGTGAGGGGCCGGGCAGGGAGGCGTCAGGACACTATACTCGGGTTTAGAGTGGATCCCGTGGGGAGAGGGAACCGAGGGTTCGTGAAGCAAGAGGACCAGGACCAGGTCTGCTTGAAGTCGTGACGTGGGCAAGCCTATTGCCTAGTCCCCGGCACACAGGAGGGACTTAATAAATGCCCACCGAATGTTGACCGGGTGAGGAGGAGCCTCCGGTGGGGAGAAGGAGGAGGATGAAAGCGACACCGGAGGCCTAACCAGGA